TCGGGCGGTTTCTTTCCTCCAGGAAGGCACCCTGGAAGTGGCCTTGCTTTGTCGTTGGCGAGCCCTGCCGAGATGCGCTGCCGCTGCTTCTGAGGCCACTCACGACCGTGTCTTCCTCTCGTTTTGTTTCCTCCTAGGTCTCAGTCTGTCTCTCCACCTCCAGTCCTCTCCCCACCGAGGAGCCCCCTGTCCCCCCTCAGTGATAGCGAGACCTCGGCCTGCAGGTACCCCAGCCACTCCAGCGCCCGGCTGCTGAAGGACTGGCACCCCCGTGACCTTTCCCCCCCAAAGCCTCAAGATCCCTGCCCAGGCACCTCGCCTCCCCCCTGCCCCATCAGCGCCACCAGCCTCCGTTACCTGGACAGGAGCCCTTCCGGGTGCAAGAGAGAGAGCCTGAAGGAGAATGTCCCTGGGGCGGCTCAGGATGGAGAGGGAGTAGCTGCCGGCCTCCCCCTTGCCCTGAGCACGCCGTCCCTGGGCTCGGCAGCCGGCCCACGGAGCCTCCCGCTGACCCGCGCTGGCACCCGGGCCCACAGCCTGGGCATCCGGGAGAAGATCTCAGCATGGGAAGGCCGCAGAGAGGCCGCGCCCAGGATGAGCATGTGCCCAGAGAAGCGGGAGGGCCCGGGGGGCGAGTGGGCTGCCAGTGAGGGTTGCCCCAGTGTGCTGCCCTCGCCCTGCAGCTCGGAAAAGACCTTTGACTTCAAAGGCCTCCAGAGGATGAGCAGGACCTTCTCAGAGTGCTCCTACCCTGAGACCGAGGAGGAGGGAGAGGCCCTCCCGGCCCGGGACTCTCTCCACCGGCTGGAGAAGCGGCCCAGCCGGAGCGAGCCCGGCACCTTTCTCAGGGGCCACGGCAGCAAGAAGGAAAGCTCGGCAGTGCTGAGCCGCATCCAGAAAATCGAACAGGTCCTGAAGGATCAGCCGGGCCGGGGGCTCCCCCAGCTCCCCAGCAGCTGCTACAGTGTAGACCGTGGGAGAAGGAAGACAGGCACGTTGGGTCCCCTGGAGGAGCCCACAGGGAGCAGGGGTGTGAGTGGCAGCAGGCGGGCCGCAGGAGTGGCTGGTGTTGCAGGGGAGGCGGGCCCACCCCTGGAGAGGGAGGGCAGCGGCTCTGCAAAGCCGGGGACCCCCAGAACCAGCCCCAGCTCCCAGCTACTGCCATCGCAGGACTCCCCTGATCCTGCTGTGAACCCCGTCCCCAAACCCAAGCGCACCTTTGAATACGAGGCTGACAAGAACCCCAAGAGTAAGCCAAGCAACGGTCTACCTCCTTCGCTCACACCTGCTGCTCCACCCCCCCTGCCCTCCACCCCAGCCCCACCAGTCACCAG